AGGACTCTCCTTACTCTAGGTAGTAAAAGTTTTACATTGTTACTACATGTCAAGTGATTACTTTTTTTAAAACCACAAGACAGCAAGAGAAACTTCAAATTTGGTATCTGTTTGAGGTTGGAATTGTTTAGGGTTTTCCTTTGTTCCTGTTCTTTTTCTTCTGTGTTTTTTTTTTAACCTTCTTTTACAGAATTTTCTGTTTTCAAAATACTGTTTTGAATGGTATTTTTATTGCATTATATTTAGCGTGACAAACTAAAACAAATAGAAGCAATACCCAAGCTGACTATTTTTCTCCTAGAAACAGGAAGCAGTGTTATCAGAATTGCCAGGCTGAGTTTGAATGAATCAGTTTCCAAAATGCTGTTTTGATTGGAATGAATGGCCTCATGCACACACACTCATAAATCAAAAATTAATACCGATAGAAATGTGCTTAGTGTACAACTGACATGGATACCCAAGAACTGCAAAATGAGAAGGCTGAACTAGTCAGATTCATATGGTTAGAATTTCTTAAGAAGTTGCTTTAAATGTTTTAAAAATGTATATATACACACATATTTTTTGCAGTTGTACATCACCTTCTAGTGGAAGGTGTCCCTGCCCATGGCAGGGTGGGCTGGAACTGGATGATCTTTAAGGTACCTTCCAACCCAAACCTTTCTATGATTCTATATATACACATATTTTCATACATACATTTTTATCCATGTTCATATAGTGTTCATATAGGTATATATGTGTTTATATATGTCCATGTACATATATATACAGACAATTTTGCAGATGTTGTGTGTGAGTATATATATATTTTCATATTTGTGTATATTTTGCAAAATTTGAATTCTAGGTTACCTTTTGATTATTTTTCCAGGCCATGATTCTAAAAAGACAAGAATATTCTTAAGCTTCAAGGAACATAAAATAACAAACAACAAACCCATTACATGAAATGCCACAAATCCATCTCCACTTAGCATAAGAACTATGTAGTGATTTATTCCAGGTGGCCAAAAGCCTGGCCCAGTTAAAATCAATTGGGTAAGAATTTAATTTTGTATCTGTAACCAATAGGCAAAGAATGATCCAGTGGTACGTAGATTCTAAAGCCTGCTAAATGCTAGCTCTGATGGTTTCCGTATCTAAAAGGCAATTAAGAAGTGGAAGCCAAAATTATTTTTGCTCTCAACCTCAAGGTTCCAGTAATTAATGTATTAACGGGAGTTAACTGTTGTCTATACAGTTAATCTGGAAGTGACCCATAAAAGCAGTACACATTTGTTACCAGGTCATACTCAAGGCTCTGATTATAACTGCTGCATTAACCTTTTTGGAAACCGTTTTTCCATTTCTAAATGAGGATTTCATAGAGGTATAAATTAACCAGAAATCTTTAGTTTAAAAAAAACCCAACACATCGACCCCAAACATGAATATTATAATGTTTTATAAGGCTTTCATCTCCTTCTATGAGTATGCTCTTACAAGTATCTGAATACTCCAGAAGAAAGGAGCTGTTCTCTCAGTACGGCGGTAGCTACACCAGTGCTGTGTGATGCAGCATTCCCAAAGTCACAGGTTACAGTTCTTTCCTCTAGAAAACCTGATGGTGACTCAGCTGAGGAAAAGGGCACGGTAGCAGAATGCTGTTAGAAGCTGGTTCTGATAGAGTCCTGTCTGTTGCCACTCTTAGTAATGTGAAAGACCTAAAAACAAGAGTTTACAGACATTCATACTGCTGTTTCGGATGCATTAGCGTATCAGTAACGTCCACATTGGGTTGGCAAATACAAGACAGAACTAAAGGGAGACCTAATCTCTTCCAGAGGAGGAGCTGGAAAACAGAAGGACCCCGGGTATATGACATGATATTGGAATACTTGTGATTAGTTCCACAGTTACGTTCCTCGAGACTAAATACCAGATGCTACATTAGCATGTATAGGAAGGAGTCGATTCAGTGCTTAGAGTACCTGTAGAATATTTACTTCCTTGGTATTTCTGTATGTCATGCAAAGCATTTTAGTCTGTGTGTCATGCTGTGGTATAGTCTTACTTGTCCATCCGTGGACAAGGGAAGAGCCACTGATGTCGTCTATCTGGACTTCTGTAAAGCCTTTGACACAGTCCCCTACAACATCCTTCTCTCTAAATTGGAGAAACATGGATTTGCTGGGTGGACTATTGGGTGGATGAGGAATTGGTTGGATGGTTGTACCCAGAGGGCAGTGGTCAATGTCCAGATGGAGATCAGTGATGAGTGGTGTCCCTCAGGGGTCCGTACTGGGACCAGTACTGTTTAATATCTTCATCAATGACATAGACAGTGTGTTTGAGTGCACCCTCAGCAAGTTTGCAGGCAACATCAAGCTGAATGGTGCAGTTGACACGCCTGACGGATGGGATGCCATCCAGAGGCACTTGGACAATTGAGGAATGGGCCCGTGTGAACATCATGAGGTTCAACAAGGCCAAGTGCAGGGTCCTGCACCTGGTTGGAGCAACCCCCGGTATCAGCACAGGCTGGGGATGAAGGGATCGAGAGCAGCCCTGCTGAGAAGGACTTGGGGTTACTGGTGGATGAAAAGCTGGACAGGAGCCAGCAATGTGCTTTCACAGCCCAGAAGGCCAACGCTATCCTGGGCAGCATAAAAAGAAATGTGGCCAGCAGCTCAAGGGGGCTTATAAGAAAGATGGGAACAGACTTTTTAGCAGGGCCTGTTGCAATAGGACGAGGGATAATGGCTTTAAACTGAAAGAGAGTAGATTTACATTAGATCTAAGAAAGAAATTTTTCACAATGAGGGCGGTGAAACACTGGCACAGGTTGCCCAGAGAGGTGGCAGAAACCCCAATCCTGGAAACCTTCAAGGTCAGGTTGGACGGGGCTCTGAGCAACCTAATCTAGTTGAAGCTGTCCCTGCTCACTGCAGGGGGCTTGCATTATACAACCTTTAAAGGCCCCATCCCTGGAAACATTTATAGTCAGGTTAGACAGGGCTCTGAGCAACCTGATGTAGTTGAAGATGTCTCTGCAGGGCCTTGGACTAGATGACCTTTAAAGGTCCTTCCAACCCAAACTATTCTATCACTCTATGATTTACATTTCTAGTTGGTGTTTCGTTTCATAAATGTTCCTGCGTAGCAGAAATGTATTTCTATGAGAAGTGAGCAGGAACTAACAGTAGCTTGTTACTGTCTGGTCTAAGATCTTTGCTTTACCTTTTCCAGCAGAATCTTGAAAATTAGATTCCAAAAATAATTCTCACAATCCCTTCTTTTTCTGATCTGCGCTGTTTTTCATGCTGCATTTTCCCAAAGGGGGCCATCTATGGTCTTATGTGCAGTATCTGCCTTATCCTCAGTTGATCCCCCTTGATTTTCAGACTTGCTTCGTAACTGGTTCATAAGCTGTTTTCCACAGCTGCTTACAGAGTCGAATCTTTCAAAGACCAAAAACCCTTCATCACTTTAGTAATTTCTTTTGAGCCTACATATAGACATATGTGAACCTGAACAAGAACTGCAGAAATAAGAACTCAATAATTAACTGCATAATAACCTATTCCAAGTGTAATACCCGTTGCTTGTAATTCTGACAGTGCAATAATTCTCTACAGAAATTAAAGAATGTTACCAGAAATAGTATTTTTGATGTCTTCAGCAACATTTCATGTCTTTTCTTTTAAACACTCATCAAATTAATATAATTTGAGTTTCAGACCTACTAGAGCTGTCACAGTGACCTAAGATCAAGTGTCTTAAAATAGCTTTCACTGCTACTCATCTTCTCAGCAAAGGCTGGAAAGCTAGAGGACCTTGTAACTGCTATTATGTTTCTTGCCCATGGGCGCAGGCTGGTGTGGATCTGGCAAATGAGTTGAGTACAAATCTTTTGTTCTGCCTGATCTGTACCTTTAAAGAAGAAATGAATAGGCAGAATTTGTAAGCCACAAGTTCCCAGGACTTACTGCAACATTATTAGCAATAATGATATCCAGCCTGATTACTATTTTATCCTCTGTCCAAACTGTCAGCATTTTTGAAAGAGGCTTTCTCTTGGTTCTTGAGGCATTCTGTCAAGGACCATAAAGTTCATAACAACTCTTCTTTCTATGGCTTCTTTTTCCAATTTATTTTGTACCCAGCCAACTAAATAGGCAAGTTGTCTGAGTTACATTTAAGACTTAGGAGATAACAGCATGAGACAAGTCAGGTGAACCTGGCCATGGCATCAGGCTAGCTCAGTGGAATCAGCTCAACATTATTACAATAAGAACTATCTTATATAACCTTCAGGATTCAGAGACTTACTGATGGCTCCCCTTGTACTTGTCACACCTTTATGCAGTCTGCTTCTAGAAGTATGAGAATCTGCCTGTACTTTTTTAGGCAAGCTGAAGAAAGGAACTGCAAATGATAGTATTATTCTTTAACTAACATGCTGCATTATCCCATAAAATGGTATTTACATACCATAAAACAAGAATGTGGAACAAACCACCGGCTCTGCAGCCTGGCAGAGACACCAAAGTGGAATAGCAGTAAGTTACTATCATGGTTGCTGATGGCATCAAAAAAGATGTGTGTCCACACAGGGAGGCCAGGGCTTTAGTATTTGGGTGTTGGTATTCCAAGTTTTGTATAGAAACTGAAATGAAACACAGTCTTTTGGCTGTCAACCTGAATGGGGCAGACAGTCTTGGAACATGTCTGACTCCATATGTATTTCTACTACATTTGGAATTACAGATATTAAAGGACTGAGGTATAGAAAAACTGCTATACTTAATAAAGTTACCAAGATATAATGTACCAATATAAAAACACCAAGATACGAGATACAATATCTGTCAAAGATTTGATTTAACCTGTATTTCATACAGAATACTTAAGTGATAGGAAAACAAATGAAGACAAATTTAAACGTCTGTATCTCTCAACTTTTTGCAGAACCCAAATAACTATATATCATCATTATCTTCTGCTTTTTTCAGCCAGCAGACTTTACAGGAAAGCAAGCACTGAAGCAGATTAAAGAAAAGGGGCTCAAACGACGACTGGTATATCTCGCCTTGGAAACAGATAACGTCGATCCAGAGGGAAATGAAAGTGTGTGGCATAATGGCAAGGTAAGGACTATAGATCATGTTACAAGAAACTCATGTTAATTCTCCATAAACAGAATCTAACCATGTTTCAATTGTGAACGCATCATTTTTGTTTTACTGTCACAGAACAGTTTGAAGCTATGATAACCATTTTCTAATCTTCAAGCAGGAAGGAAAGACTAGCTAAGTATCTACAAAGAAAATGTGAAATACCATCAGGTTACAGAAACTGGAGTTGGAACAGACTAAAGTATTAACTCATCCATTCCCATGTCCTTCAAGTTCACCATTGTCCTAATAACAGTTTTGCTATTCACTTAAAAGAAACAGAACAACAGCAAAGTTTAGACCTCCACACTTCAGCGCAGATAACGTGTTGAAGCACTCACTAGCAGTTAAATTATTGTATATAACAAGCATATGCATGTGTATAGTGTTTGTTCTCATGAAAACATAATTGAACACAATAGGAATAAACTGTTTTTTCAAGGAGCAAAAACTTCCCAGTTTAAGATGATGTCACCCACAGTAGAGAATATTATGAACTGCATGACACACTTGAAATTTGCTTCATGTCTGAAGTGTATATACCAAAACTGGTAGATGAGATGTATAGTTGTTTGTTTTGTTTTTGTTTTGTTTTTTTAAGAAAACCTCACTGCATCTTGAAAATAAAGATAAATGTTTGTGTTTTTTTCCAGGTTATTGGCAACACCACGTCTGGAAGTTTCAGTTACAGTGCTCAGCAGAGTCTGGCTTTTGCATATGTTCCCACAGAACTCAGCAAAGTTGGACAGAAATTGGAAGTTGAACTTCTAGGAAAAAATTATCCAGCAACCATTATACAAGAGCCACTGGTGCTGACTGAACCAACAAGAATGCGCCTTCAGAGAAAGGGTGAAAGTCCCAAAATATAAACACAGATGAGGATACATCAAACTGTGCAGTAGGAAATAGTTCTATTAATATGCATGAAATTAAGAGAAACAAACTACTCAGATTTGCTAATTACTAAACATAAGATCCTCATTGCTATACATCAGTGAGAAATTCGATGGTGTTACCCTCTTGCTTCCTTGTATGGGCTGTTCACATTAGAGATCTGAGCGGAGTTCATGAACCAGTCAGTATGCGTTCCCCCTTCTCAGTAGCACTTGTGAGCAGAACTGGCAGGGAATGAGTAGCTCCTTGATTCAGCTTGCTCCCGAATTGGCTGGCAGATCTGAATTAATGCAGAAGAGAAAGCTGCCCTTGGTTTTGGCCAGTAGCAAATTCTTCCTCCTCCTTGACAGTCACAGTTAAAGCAGCTTACCCTGGCTTCTGACAACATGACATTGCAAACTTACCATTAAAATAATATACATCCCAGCAATCATTAAAAATAATAAAGGCGGTATTAAAGGCAAACTGAACTGTTAACATTTTTTCCCAATGTGACACCCTGGCAGAAATTCTCATAGAAGATCAAAATCTAGTTCTTCTTAATGAAACAGTTATAGGAAGGCCATTCTTCATTATTTTGTATGAATCATCTGGTAGATTACATGTAATATTCTACAACACACAGGATGTTATTGCTCAATTTTGAACAGAACCTGAAGTACTGTGTCATGGATTTACTGTTCTAAATCTGAAGAGCGAGACTGAAACCAGAGAATTTCTGTTCTTCCTTTTCCTGTTAATTATAGAGGGAACAGCAGTAAGAGCCATATGTTGTTACACAGAAATATTAACAATGAAAAAAATAAAATTGAATCCACAGCAGAGGAGCTTCATTCAGTCTTAAATATTCAATAACCAAAATAAGCAGGATTCAGATAATGTAAATGATGGGAACACATTAAATTATTAAAACAGTCTTCTCAATTTCTTAATATGCTCAACAACTCTTTTGAATAAGAGCAATGTCACAATTTCCAACTTAAAAAGAGTAATGCTTCCCTTTAGGCTATAGATAAACCTTTTGGAAATACATATGAATATGAATAATGTCCAAAATGTACTTTCTCCAAAGCCATTGGTGCCTCTAAATCTTCAGCAAAGAAGCAAATGCATAAATAGAATATGCCAGGAGAAACACAGTTTGAATAATGAACACTTACTCTTGCTGAAATAAACTGACATTACATTGTGGTGTTCTGAATATCTTTTATAAAGCAGGTCAAAAAAAAATATACAAGCTTTGGCAGGCTTGCATGTAGTACTATCTTGAGTGAAAAATTCATTCAGAAATTATTCTCTGTTAGGCTTTCATAAGTGATTCATTTCTACTTTGCTCAACCAGAGATGTTACTTTTTGGAAAGATGACATTATTAGTAATAAGGTACTTAGCCACTATGTTTTCTTGAGCATTTAAGAAATCTAAAATACAACACAATGCTATATGGTTTTATTTAGACTATAGGGCAGAAGAGCAATTCTTAGGAATATAGTTTCGATATTCAGTATTTCCCAAGAACATGCAAATTCACTAGATACCTCATCCAGGAATGTACAGTAACAGTTCTCCTGAGACAGGCTCTCACATATACTTTCTTAATAAGCTTTTCTCTGTCAAAACTCTATTTCAATGATGCCTCCCACATCCCAGTCTGAAAGTTAGAATCAGGGTTGTAACTCCTTTTCAGGCTTGGAAGAAAGAAGTGCTATTTATTATCATGCCATCCAGAGTGGTCTGACTATGCAGAAGGGGCGGCTTTCTGCAACCTGCGCAGAAGGTAATGAATCACAGATGTAATTCCTACAGTCAAGTGAACTTAGAAACTATACCCTCCATGGGCTTGTACTGCCTTTCCAGCTGTAACCTCCCAACCCCTAATTTCTCCTTGTAGCTGATGCAGACAGCTACCTGTCCCGTCTTACAGTACAGTAGTATACAGGCCCAAACACTGACTTCCATGTGCACTTCTCATTGACAGCTGTTGTCATCAAGTCTCACCAAGATGGAGCCTTAGGCAGTTAATTTTGATTTAATTTCAAGATTTAGGGAAGCTGACAAAAAGCATCGCGTGCTGTTTCTGAGACAAGGCAATGCAAAGTAAAGTTTCTTTCCTGCAGTCAACTTGTAAGACCAAAACAACTCCCTGTTCATCACTGGCCATATAGAAGACAACTGGAGTATATGAGAGCTTGTTGCACTCTCTTACCTCTTAAGAATGGCTGTGCTTTCTGTTCAACAACGCATTCAGAAGCAAAGATACCTGAAGTTGTTTTAAGCAAGCATGGCTGAGTACTAGAAGCACTGTAGCTGTGATAGCTGTATGCCCGACAGGGCTTCCTAGTTGACCTGGCTTCTGTTTTACTGCTCTGATCACCCAAGTCAACTTACTGAGTATTTATTAGGATAGCTCAACATTGAAGCACTTTGCACAGAGTGGATAAACTAAACAGACAGGCCCAGTCTCTTAATACATGGCTCCATGACTGGTGTCACCACCACAATTTTGGGTTTTTTCAATAATGGGATGGCTTACATGGCACCTGGCTTGCTGGCATCAGGTGGGATTCACCTTTCTCAAAGTGGGAAGAGGGTCTTTGCTCACAAGCTCTTGGGCCTTATTGACAGAGCTTTAAACTAGACTGAAAGTAGGAGGGGGATAATATCAGGCTTACCCACAAGAAGCTGTGGGTTGACACACCAAGGTTAGACGGATGGGAGGTCTAGTGAGCCTGTTGCACCAGAGAAAGACTTCAAAGGAACTAAGAGCTGTTCCTCTAAGAGGGTGACATGGCCAACAGCCCAGCTGAAGTGCCTCTACACCAGTGCACGCAGCATGGGCAATAAACAGGAGGAGTTGGAAGCCACTGTGCTGCTAGAAAGCTACAAGCTGGTTGTTTGAACCTTGGTGGGATGAATCCAGTGACTGGAATGTAGCTGTCAATGGCTACAGGCCATAAGGGACAGGCAAGGAAGGAGGGGCAGAGGCATTGCCCTCTACATCAAGAAATGGATAGTGTGAAGAGCTGTCTCTGAAGAATAGCCACAAGCAGGTTGAAAGCTTGTGGGTAAGAATCAGTGACCAAGGCAACAAAGGGAACCTTGTGGTTGGTATCTAGTATAGGCCGCAGCTTCAAGGGGCATCTATTGATGAAGCCTTCTCACTCCAGCTACAGGAGGTATCGGACTTGCAGGCTCCCGTCCTGCTAGGGGACTTCAACCACCCCGCCGTGCTGAAAAAGTAGCAGGGCAAGCTGTAGGCAACCCAGGAGACTCCTGGAGTGCATGGAGGATAACTTCCTGTGCCAGGTAACAGACAGC